TTTTTTATCATAAATATATTTATGATATTTCTGTCGAATTGAAATACTTTAAATTATCTTCAAACAAAAACCTAATCTCATTTTAATGTTTATTTTGACGATAATACTTAACTTGGGTTTAATGTCTTTTGACCAAAAATATTAAAATTAACCAATTACATCTTAGTGGACTTTTAACAATTGTTACAAGTTGATAACAAATGAAACTTTATAAAATCAGATGATTCAATGCTATATCTAACAATATTAAAATTAGGATATACTCAATAGACCACGTCATTAAATATAACTAGCCAATCACAACATTTTGTTTCTGTCACGTCAGCCGGATCAAACATTTCTGGTGGGCTTAATTTTCGATTTGGGTAATGTTGTTCTAAAATTAACGAGGCCCATTTCATAAAAACCCTAGCTTCTGAGAAAGGTCTTTTTTCTTTCGCTTCTTCTTTGTCGTTTCTCCTTCCTCACCTATAAGTCGATCAATCCACACCACGCCTTACCTCTAATGATTCGCTTGAATGTCTCATTAATGGATTCGTATCGCTTTTCTCTATATCTTAAAGTGGACTGTAGCTTTGGAGATATGAGTTTAGTGATGAGAAGCACCAGAGAAGAAGATGAAGATGAAGCAATTAGAAGGCTTATTGGGTGATCTTCAACAGTTCTCTAACCCTAAAGCATTTCCGGAAAAAAAAATTACTTCGTTCGTTGATGTTTGAATAAAAAGATTACTCTTTTGTTGATGTTTGTGTGTCGCAGGTAGAATTGGAGCAGTACCCAACTGGACCTCACATTGCTTCTCACATGCTCTTCACTGTAAAGTTTCTCCCTTTACACATCAAAAGCTTCTTCCTTTATATGTTTCTTTTGATTGTAACAGAGGTTCATAACAGTCTAGACTAATGGTTTCAGTGTGTGTATAGGGTTTGTTACTGTTTCTTGAAGAGTGATGAAGTGTGTTTTGTTTTAGGCAGAAAACTGACAAAGTCGTTGCGGTTTTTGGTTGTGGTACTCTTAATGCTGCTGCTTCTCTTCTATATGCAGCGTGAGTGTTGTGAAGTCTTCATCTTTTTTGCTCTAATCTCATCAAAATACTATTAATATTCATTCTCTATTTGTTTGCTTCAAAAAACAGGTGTGTGTTTTTTTTTGATATCGACCCACAATCTCTTGAAACCGCAACACTAAATGCAGATGAGCTTGAGGTTTGGTAACATTCTTCTTCTTTGGTTGTTAGCAATACTCTTTGCTGTAATGTGGCTTGGTTTCACAGGTGGAGATAGATTTTGTTGTGTGACGAATCAACCATTGGGACAAACGGAGGGAAAGGTTGGAGATAACAAAACATATTGGAACAAGCCTCCTTTTGATTTCAACAAGCCTCTTTTTGATTTTGTTAAGTGTGACGAATCAACCATTGGTTTCAAGGCTTGGTTTTACAGGTGGAGATAGATTTTGTTGTGTGACGAATCAACCATTGGGACAAAAGGAGGGAAAGGTTGGAGATAACAAAACATATTGGAACAAGCCTTCTTTTGATTTCAACAAGCCTCCTTTTGATTTTGTTAAGTGTGACGAATCAACCATTGGTTTCAAGGCTTGGTTTCACAGGTGGAGATAGATTTATTGCTAAGCTAAGCAAAGCTAGAGTTAAAAGGTTGGTTCATATATGGGGATTCTATGTGTAATGTGTCTCACTCCAATTTGCTAAGCTAGAGTTAAAAGGTAAAAAGCCTCCTTTTGATTTCAACAAGGTTGGATGAATCTATTTTTAGCTTAATCCATGAGTTTATTTTTAGGCCAGGTTGTTGATACTGTTGTGATGAATCCTCCCTTTGGTACACGTAAGAAAGGAGCTGACATGGAGTTTCTCTCTGCGGCTATGAAGGTTGCCTCTCAAGCTGTTTATTCCTTGCATAAGACATCTACTAGAGAAGTGAGTATATTACTTAACTATTTACACTTTTTAGTATATGTTTTTGTTTTTTGACTATCTTTTTCATTGTCACAGCACATCAAAAGGGCAGCGTTGCGTGATTTTAAGGCGAAAAGTGCTGAAGTTATATTGTGAGGTGAGAGCTATCAACATCATATGAAACTCTTGATGTTAATGTGTATGAACATTCTAACTTATTATTCATGTTGTTCGCATTGCAGCTTTGGTATGACCTTCCCAAGCTCTACAAGTTCCATAAGCGAAAAGAGGTTGATATTGCGGTTGATCTCTGGCGTTTTGAGCCTAGACATGACTAGACGACCACGAGCATGTAATGTTTAGCTTTTGATCCAAAACTGGTTATATGTGGATGGATTTTATGAGAAGTATGAACTCACAAACAAATATGGGTTCTTGAATCTCATAAACAAAGAGAACTTCTTAAAGCTTTTGTATCAGTTGAGCTTAGATATAATTCTAAGCAGTTAAATTTAGTGATCCCAGGTGATCCAACCATGGTGGTATATCAACATCAGTGGCTTGAGAATCATGAGATCATTAGACAAAAGGTTATCCCAAAGATAAATGAGTATACGACTATACGTATAGAATTAGCACTTTGACTTTTACCAAATGATATACGTATAGTCGTATATCATTTGGTAAAAGTCAAAGTGCTAATTCTATTTTTTTTTCTTTTTTAATTTCAATCACGGATTGAGAAAGAAAGGAACGTTAATGATAAAAATTAATTTCATGGACATTTTTGTTAAATAAAATTCATATTGGGACAGATAACAAAACATGATTTATATGCTAAGAACGTCTTCAATGGTACTTCAAAATGAGGAAAAACATCAAAAAAAAAGAAAATCATCTCCAATAGTATTTCATTTTGAGGAAATGCTATTCACAACCTCATTTTGATGTTAAGCTTTTTTATTTACATAATGGTCTTTTAGTTTTTGACAAACTTTATTTTATGCATTAACAAAACATTAACACTAAACATAATTTTAATAACTTTATATCTAATATATATATACTAATTAAAATTCTTAAATATAGTTACCAATAATTAGCTATTAAAATATAATTTATAATCTATAATTTATAATTTATAATTAAAAAATAGAAGACATCCATTAATAATACAAAGTTAAGAAAAAACACAACAAACTTAATACAATTCTATTATTACTTTGTCTGTTGTTATGTATCTTTATTAATGTAATAAATATTTGTTTTTATAAGTTAAAATTTTGTTAAATTATAAAATTTAAAAATAAGTGATTATAATCTAAAATCTTATGAAATAAAAGATGTTATTTGTAATAAATAAGAAGTTGAAGAATGAATATAATTATAATTGAAGAAGAAAATGAGGTAAACCATTAGAGCAAATCACAACTTTATTTTGAGTTTACTTCATTTTAAGGGAAAAAAATGAGGGAAACCATTAGAGATAGTATAAGAATAGCAAACATAAAATGACACTCTTAAATCAATAAATATTTAAGCATGAACTACAAGTATATAAATGTTTGGATCAACCATAATTAACCAGTTATTTTCATGAGAATGCAAATAGTTAAGTTAAATTTGTAGTATGATCCATCAATATTATTAAAAGAGAAGGAGTTTTAATAAATTTACCTATGAAAATTTTCTGGACCCTTTCATTTAATTCATTATTTTATTTTTTGGCCTTATCTTAAATTTAGACCAACATTATGTTACCATATATTTCTCTAACAATAATATAGTCAATACTTCTATTTACTAGACCCACCTCTTTTTGTACATCTATACTATTAAACCAGAATCTCTTTTGGGGTTCTACCCTTGATTTTTTTATGAAAATTACAAAACATTCCACTTCCTTTTATTTTTAATAAAAATTACCCATTAAAAGTCCAACTGAAAATCGCCGATTAAATACCCAATAATTTTAATATTTATTTACAATGAAATAGGCTTAAAATCCATAGAAAAATTATATATTTGTAAGTTTATAAATTCGTCAGCAGAATTAGGACTGACATTTTACCCAGACTAAGACCCAAACAAAAACCCACCCGAAAATACATGTTCAGGTCCGGGTTCGGGTCCATACTAAAGTATATGTTGGGTATTTTTTGTTTGGACCCACAGGTCTCGGTTCGGGTTCGAGTCCTATTCGAAACTCGATCGAGCACCCGAAATACCCACAAATTATTGTATGTCTTAGGTATATTTAGGTGATTTGGTATATTTTTGATAATTCGGGTATTTTTTAAAGTTTCAGATTTAGATTTTTGGATATAATGTTAGGTTTTAGGTAAAATTGTCGATTTTCAAAAAAAAAAATTCGGGTATCGGGGTAAAATTCCGGGTATACTTTGAATCTTTGGGCTCGATTTTGGATAAACTTTCGGATATTTTTACGGTTCTTCGGACATTTTTAGAATTTTCGGGTATTTTCGAGTTTTTATTGATCCAGTTTGGGTTCTTTGGATCCTTTTCGGTTCTTAAATACCGGAATCGACCTGGCAATATACCCAAACCAATGGATTCGACAAGATCCGATCCAAAAACGACCCGAAAAATTATAGGTACATATATGGGTCCAAATTTCTAGGACCTAAAAGACCTGGACGCAACAAGACCTGATCCAAAGCCTACTTGAAAATCTGGATACTCATGATTAAACAGTATATTATCCGCGCTTTGAAAGTGCGGATCAAAATCTAGTTAAGAAAAAAATACATATATACATCTTATTCATCTATAAATGAACTATAAATATTTTAAGCATCAAATTCATTCCGTGCAAAATACGGATTTTATCCTAGTCAAAATTTATTTTGAGATGTAATAAATGGAAAAAGAAAAGAAAATATTAAAATGAATCAACTTGTTGATAAAAAGAAAAAGAAATCAACTTCTATTTAATAATTAGATAATCACACGGGGGTTTCAAGCTATGTTCGCTACCTGTTTCCGTTCAAAGTCAAGATATATTGATCTAAAAAAGGAAGTAACGGAAAAAGAAAACATTACAGTTCTGTACATTTCGTCTATCGTCCATCTCTCAGAAACACAAATAAAAAACGTCTCATATTTCTCTCTCTCCTCTCTGCCTCTCCTTTTCTCTTCGCCGTGAATGGCAACTCAAGGTGTGGCTCAGCCTTCGACGAAGAAACGAAGCTTTCTTCTCCGTGATTTCTTGAAACTTTTCCGAGCAATCTCAAGAGTTTTCCCTCGTGAAAAGCCTAATCATATCCATAAGGCCAGTAGACACGAACGAAAGCTCCGCACCAAATCCAAAGAGCATGAAGAACAGATTTTCAACGGCCCTGATGATCCAAACGCCTTCCCTTTCCAGGTAATGATATTACAATTCACAAATATACATAACTGTTTCAAAGTTTTGGGTAGATGAATGGTTAGAGAATGTTAGAAGTTACGAGAGGGGACTAGTTTAACATACTCTTGTCCTGGTCCTAAAAAGATTCATGTTATTAACATATGGTGATCCTTTTCTTAGGAAGCGAAGACGGTAGCTAATAAGGTGGAAGGTGTGAATCTTTGCAAGGTTCGTAGCTACAGATTCGACAACAGGGCCAATTTCGTGGGGAGCAAGAAGCCATCATCTCTTTCAAGAAGTTGTAGCCAGAATACAGCCACGACGAATCCGAATCTCACAATGCGGAGTTTGTCTTTTATAGGGAGAAGCAAAAGCAGCAGCAACAAGACGGATTCAAATGGATTTATGCCGACACTTATGAGATCGACGACCACGGTTCCAAGGAGCTTAGCAAATCCAATCTTATACTCGAGCTCGTCTGCGAAGGTGGCTAAACCTCAAGCAACGGAGAAGAAACTAAGCTGCACACTCGAGGAGCTATGCAACGGTTGCACTAAGAAGATTAAGATCAAGAGAGATGTGATTACAACCTCAGGGTGTGCTTCTTTCACCAAAAACTCAACTTACGATATGCGAGTCCTTTTTGAAAAGGAAGACTAACTAAGCTGTAACTTTTTGCTGTGTAGGCAACTGAGCGAGGAGGAAGAGATGGTGGAAATAAAAGTGAAACCTGGATGGAAAGGAGGAACGAAAGTAACATTCGAAGGAAAAGGAAATGAAGCAATGGGGAGTGTACCGGCTGATTTAACATTCGTGATAGTCGAGAAAGAGCATGAGGTGTTTAAAAGAGAAGGAGATGACCTTGAAATGGTGGTGGAAGTCTCTCTACTCGAAGCTTTAACGGGATTCGAGCTCTGTGTTGCTTTACCTGATGGTGACAACATGAGTTTGAAGATAAAAGATGTTATTCACCCTGGATATGTCACAGTGATTCAAGGCAAAGGTATGCCAAATCCAAAGGAGAAAGGGAAGCAGAGAGGAGATTTGAGAGTTCGGTTTCGGATTAAGTTCCCACAACAACTTACAGATGATCAAAGGGCAGAGATTCAGAGCATTCTTCAAGACGACTCTTCTTGATCGTGTTTGCTAATACAATCTTTCCTTACCCTTTTTTATTACGGGAGGCTTTTACAACATGGTTAGATAAAAATCCAAAGAGACTCTTCTTTACTTTTGTCATCTAAGTTTGTAAACAACCAAGTTGAAACGAAGAAACCACTTATTTATAGACTTTCAATATTCATCAACAGCAAAACATATAACCAAATTCCATATCAGGAGGAAAAAAAAGAAGTAAAATACAAATGTGTGCGTGTGTGTACTCCTGTATCTTTAACCTTTTAAGAAAAACCTAAAAGGACTCTGAATATTTCCACTATATTGCTGTTGACAAGGGCCTTAAGCAATCTAAGCTTTCCTCTGGAGTAGGGTGGATACCTGATTGCTGCATCACCTATAAAGCTTTTGTAGAGAACAGCCTTCTTGTGACTAAAAGCATCAAATGAGAACTTACCATGGTAAGAACCCGTTTCACTTTCACCAACTCCTCCAAATGGCAATGTGGGAACTGCAAGCTACACATATCGGATATGTTTAGATGTTAATGCAGCATTGTTATAATGATAAAGCGTTGCATGTGTTTAGTAGCTAGGATAGAGCTATTGTTTTTTTACATGGACAGCTATGTCGTTGACCACTATGCCTCCAGCAGAAACTGTCATGGCAAATCTCTCTTTCAGCTTCTGGTTTTGGGTAAACAAATATGCAGCAAGTGGCTTCGGTCGAGAACGGATCACGTCAAAAATCTCTTCCAAGTTGTTGAGCTGTGCGGAACAAAAGAAATCGTTACATGTGCCTTTCAAAACATAATCGAATGAAGCAGAGCCTTTATAGATTGGCAAGTGGTTCTTACCGTGATGATTGGAAGGAGAGGGCCAAATATTTCTTCATTCATGATCAGAGAATCTAATGGCACGTCGACCAAAATCGTTGTAGCAATTTTCCTGAAGGATGGAGAAAAAAGATTAACAAAAGGGAAATGCTGTCATCCATCGTCAAAATAAAGAGGAGCTTACAGTATGTCTCTGTTCTTTTGACCCCCATAGACTATTTTGTCAGAAACTTCCTTCTCCTCTAACATCTTAGACAGGCGATCAAAGTGATTCGAGTTTACAATTCGTGACATATCTTTGGACTCCATAGGGTTCTTCCCATAAAATGCCTCCAATTCTTGCTTCAGTGCATCAATCTTGGGAGGAAAAAAGAGAGAGGTCAAATGTAGAAGTGCAGCAAAATCAATCTTAAGTTTCTTCACCGTACCACTTTTGGAGAAAATTCTTTTGTCGTCAGGATGTAGTCTGGAGAGATACAGGCCTGTCCATTGTTGCAACCCCATTTGCCTGCAATTATCCGCTTGACAGAAATCTTCATAGAAGAAAAAAAGAATAATATATCACTTTCAGGAAAGTACATTAGCCTCTAAACAAAGGAAACAAAGGTAATGTAATGCCTCTAGATAAAGAAGTCATGGGATGAATCTAGGAAAAGGAGTATTTAAGTACTTTCAAATTGGTATCTGAGTCTATAACAACAGGAGATTTTCCTCCAAGCTCCAGGACAACCGGCGTGAGATGTTTTGCAGCAGCCAGCATTATGAGACGCCCAATTCTTGAACTACCTAACCAAGCATGAGTGGAACATTTAGTCTCCTGAAATAATTCACTAGAAGTGTGTTTCATATTAACATGAAGCCATGAGATCAACACTCAACAAATCACTAAAAGCATGAAAAGAAAATGTTGATCCTCAATCACTTGAGGGAATAAGACTTGGAAAGGAAACAGATTAAGCCAAAGTGAATATGAACCTGTGTAGAATATTTTGTCCCACTTTTGCTCCAGTAGCAGAGTTGTTTCAGTAACAGCCCCTTCAACAACTCTCACTGCAGAAGAATCTAGATACTGTTCCAGTAACGTTGCAAGCAGAGAGGATGAAGCTGGAGCCAGTTCTGATGGCTTTAGGACAACAGCATTCCCAGCAGAAATCGCACCAATAACAGGATCAATAGACAACACTTGCAAGAAACAATAGTAATTATAAAATAGCGTAAGAAGAATGGCATATGAAATGGAGAAGATGCAAAATCAACCAGGCATTGTTTAAACATACGAAAGGGATAATTCCAGGCCGAGATTACAAGCACAACTCCAAGAGGCTCAGACACAATTTCGGCTGATGCAGGAAATGTTGTTAGAGAAGTCTTAGCCTGAAAGTAAAAGTAATGATTGATTAGTGCGTTCTAACAACAATTTGAAAACAAAAACTCTGCATTCACCTTATCTGGTGCCATCCAGTCTTTTAACTGCTTAAGTGCTAAGTTGATAGAGTTTCTCAGTAGAGCTACCTGCATTATTAATTAACCATCATAATAAAATGACTACGGAGTAGATATAGCACATTTTGATAAACCAAACAACTAACACATGACAGGAACAGAAAGGTATCAAACTCACTGGCAATTTCTGTTGGTAACATTAAATGAGAAAGGTCAGCTCTATGTCGTTGTCTATTGGACGAACACAACTGAAGGAACAAAACGTATTTGAAAATATCAATGAAACAGACAGGTTCGTTGATTGAATTAATTATTTATCTTCTTTTTTTT